TTTTCCGGTGTAAGTAAATAATAAATAAATTAGCGATTACGGAACTTACGATAAATTCTGAATTTCGGCTCGGGCATCGTGCGATATTCCGATAACACTCCAGCGCTTGATTGGAGCCGGAAATCCTGAGACAACAACGGTCACGGTAGTTACCAAACGCACGTCAAGTGGACACGATCGTGCAGTTTCGCGAGCGAGATAACGCGACGAGTGTGAAATCATCAGGTTGGGCTTGCCCCGTTGTACATTCCGGAGCTTATCTTCGCAATATCGAAATCAATTTCGCCGCGTTCGTCTCTGTTCGCGAGCGCCGCGGCGGCATAAGTGCGAGAAGCGTGCGAAAAATTGATATAATCGTAACGATCGCGAAATCTATCAATGCGAGCGAACTAATCGCGCGTTTCGCGCGTGGTGGCGCAATTCTGTCGCGCATTATATAATACGCCCGGAACGAAAATCGCACCGCGCGCGAATAATTCCGTCGAATAATTCTACAGCAGTCTCGATGCATATAAAATCGAATAGTTAATGATAGAATATTGCGTTAACACGCAATTATGCCATTGCGAAAGTTACAATTTATGTGTTAAAATTTATGTGTTAAAATTGATCGAAAAATACCAAGTTATGAGATATTTATTACACCGCATCAGTTTTACATAAATATTTTTCGTATTTTTCAAATATCTCCGTTAGACGTCGAAGAGGTAATCTCCTGATTGTTTCTAGCGATTCACTTTGTCGGACACAAAAATACATGCATAGAAAATTATCGTTTGTTTCGGCGCCAAATATATTTTACAGCAGTAGCAACAATGCATTTAAGGTTATTATCATTGATATAACAATACTTACTGGAACGATTTTCCTCACTATTTTTGTAAGTTAAAAGCGAAGTTGGCGCCGAAACTAACTATAATTTTCTATCAGTGCACGTACAAAAATCCTTCGAGCTATGCAAATCGGATTGATTAGAAACGAAAAAATCGAAAAAAAATCACCTACAAACTAAATCATTATTTTAACCTCTTCAGAGATATCGATACATGCATGTATGCTCATATATTTTCTTTTATTTTAAATTCAAACGTTATTGACGTAGATATAACAAACATTATTGTGAGTAAATATTCACCTCGAAATTCTCGAGCAAAAAGAAGGGAAATCTCGTTTCGATTGACGGACGTTACAGTGTCATTTGGAATTTAAACAATTTTCTCCCAATTAAAATCAATTCGTGTCTCTAAAGAGGTTAAATTTTCGTAGTGATCTTTTTTATTGTTCTACTCACCGAAACCACAGTAGATTAGAGCCAGCCGCGTTCCGCTATACGATGCGGAACGAAAAAGAGGACGATTCACTGTGAGAACAATTTTTGTACTTTTAACTGTAATCGCACGAGTGAAAGAATTATAGTCAAGAGAAACATTTTTCTAGCAAGCGTTATTATAGTGTCATTGATAATAACCTTACATGCGTATTGTTACTATTATTGCTTGAATGAAAATCAGAAGAAGATATAGCTGAGGCCGAAAATTACTATAATTTTATTCGGATTTTTCTCAATGTTTCGTCAGTTAAATTCAACATGCGGAAAACCGGAAGCGAGTTAGTCTTTTACGATAAATCTAGCTTCGTATTTTACTAGCTGTAATCTGATTTTCGACTCGAAGGATTAAAGGGAAAAATATAGAGGACTCATAAACGTACCCTCAAGCCGACTCTGTTCGGCCCGAACCGAATCCTTCGGTGCGGCATCCGCGTTTATCAACCGTCGCGATCGCAAAAAGCTCTCTTCGGATCTGAAACAGAAGGGAACGTTCCTAATTAGCCGCAGAGCGACGAACGGGTCGCGCGGTCTCGACGAATCGAGATTGCGAAAATATTCAATCCGAAAATACCAAACACACGAGAGAATCAACCATGTCTCTTTTTCAAATCTCACGGGAATAAATTTCGGTAGTTACCCATTAAATTTCAGGACTCTTCTGTGTCACAAATTGATACAAAATCAAAGCTTCTTGTCGCTCAATGGCACTTCCGTCACTTTTGAGAGCATATTGTAAATTAATTACACTTTTATCATAAATTAAATAAAATCTAACGCAGTTAGAATTCCAAATGTTTAGATTGCCGAACAAAATTAATGTTATGCACTTAACACGTGTATTATTATAATAATGTATTAATTTATTTTCTCGATGATGTTACTTTGTCATCAATTGAAACATTCACCATAGCGGAAAATTATTCTCGCACACCGATTTGAAGAACTTCGGAAATAGCGCACGACGTAGCGCGTGACGTTCGGCTTCGCATGAAAAAGCGTTACGATCGCGAGCGCGCGGCGTATTTTTACATTTTACATTTTTTACATTTTACATTTTACATTATTTTGCCGCTCCGGAGGTCGGACGACCCTTAGGATAACAACGCGTAAGCGTAACGACGAAAGCACCGTTACACGTTCGACCAGTTTTAACGTACTACGTTGCTACGTTGAAATATTAATATTTTACATTACATTACATTATGACGCTTGATTATTTAACATGCGCGTGCAATAAAGCTCGTCGCATTCCCGTACAAATCGCGCAGTTACCGGGAATTAAGATTTAATATCGGCCACTTCGTGAATAATTACGCTTAAAACGATTGACCCAGTGTCGAATTATTTGGAATTTTGTGAAAATAAGATCGAAAAATCAGCCGTGAGGCATCAGAACGCGGTAAACTCGGAACTTTCCGCGTAGAAATTGGCATTCTACATTAAATCTATTTAGTTCTGCATTTAAGCCTTCAAAAGTCTTCTATTGTGCTGCAAATGGAAAGGTATTGCCGTTTTTTTCCACTTGAAGATTAATGTAGAATTAAGTAAATTTAATGTAGAACCGAAATTTCGATTCTAGGGGCTTTCGGAGGGTTCGGGGATGGCTCTGTACCGCGTTCGCACACGGAAAAAACCACCCCATCGGTGTAACTGAATCTTCCGTTGCCCGGGGAGAAGAAGATAACTCGGTTGCAGGAACAGAAAGATTCCCATAGGCGGTTTCTGCTCAGTCAATTGTTCTCAACCGAATGTTCTCGCAAGAATGTCCCCCGTTGAGCCAACAGAGATATCATTTCTCGTTACCGAGTTTCCATATCTTGCGCCATCGAGCTCTCTCATCTGGTCTTTATTCACTTGCTGGGGATTTTTTCCGCGCAGGAGCGATAATAATCTGTACTGAGTGATAATGATCTCACGGAACATTCCGGAGGCTAAATGGCGTCGAGAATTTCAACGTAAAATTGTCAAGATCGAACATTACCTCGCAAGACGATAAATTTCATTCCGCGGATGAATGATTAAATCTATTAATTCCCCTCTTAAGCGAGACGCGCGATTTTAACTTACGTTTCTATTTTATTTACATTTCTATCAGACCACACGAGTGAATGATCTGAACGCTGATGATGTATTACCGCCGATTAACCTGCAATATCAGCTGATGATTGCCGCAGTAGTGTACAGTTAGTCACACGTGAGAAAGCAAAGGACGAAATCAGTCCGGCTGTAAAAATCGATATCACACAACTGTTCCGTGAAAATGAATAATAAATGACGGATCGATATGCGCGTGTTCGCGTAGAAATTATTGCGATAATAATTGTGAATCTGCGATTGCAGCTGTGCGGTCGTCGGTAATTTGGAATCTATCGCGGTCTCGACATCTATGCATACATTAAAATATTAATAACGATAATGTAATATGATAATATAATATTGATAATAATAATAATAAATCTTTTTGTAGAAACTGTACTACATAGAGAAAAAACACTGGTTGTAATGCGAAACCAAACGTGTTCTGGTTGAAGGAAAGAGAATTTCTGGTTTTTGCAGACTAAATTCAGTTTTTATATTCAGAAAAACTATTACTTTCAATCGAACAGCGTTTAGTCCGTTCATTGTCGTGTCAATTCAGTCAAACTTTTTCCGTACGTTGTTTATTATTCTTCTTTCTTTTCTTTTGTGGCCAATAAATAGTTTAATTACGCTATAATTATTATATAATAACGCTGGTCAACAAATTTTGTATCGTAAATTCTATTCTCTATGAATTTTTATTTTTTCTATTTATGTGTTGAAACAGAAAATGACAATAAAAAAAATTATTTAGCTATAATTCCAGAAATACAGGCCATTGTAATTTTTGTAAATTAATAGTACAAGAGGTATGAAAATAAAATAACAAAATATATTTTTATTATTTCTTATTTTTATATTTCATATCATTGAAAGTGCAACAATTTCTTTTAAATGTAACGTTATTAAACGTCTTTTAACGGTCTCGAAATAAAGAATGTTATAACGAAAAAATAGAAGAAGTCTCCATTTCCCTACAGGAAATTCAAAAACACGTCCCATTCATAAATTCCTAGGACTGTTATAATACGTACCATCTCAACGTGAAAAGTTAATTTTAAAAGGGAGATGATTTTGAAGACATGGCTGCGTTTTCTTTTCCCCAGACTACGAAAGCTTCAAATATCGAATTTCCTTTTGATTAGTCAATTGCGTAACAGAAGGCCCTTCAGATTACAATCATATACAATAAAAAAGACGCTAAATTTGCAGGTGAAGGTCGCTTAGATTTAATTCAAATTCCCTTTCGATTGACGTTCACTATATGATAGAAATTAGAGCTAAGCTTTCGCTTAAATTGTTATATTGTTATTATTTGTCGTTATATTCGTGATCAACGTCACAAAATCAACCAGAATTCGCGGCTCAGATGCAGGATACAGTTTTGATGTTGACCAGTGCGATCTTTGTCCGTGGATTTTCCGCTCTAATTTTCCTCCCGCCGTTTCGTGACGCGCCATTGAGGCGCCGTCCGATTATTCTGGGCGACGAGACTGCGAGGAGAGAAAACTGCGGATTCACGGACGACGACGGCCGTGGCGAAGCTCGAGCTCTTATGAATCTCCTCGGGTGCGTTTCGTGCTGTTCGCAGGGAAGGTACACGAGTAAGGGCGACGTGTGGGCGTTCGCCGTGACCCTATGGGAGATCCTGACGTTCGCGCGGGAGCAGCCCTTCGAGGAATTTCCGGATCATCGAATAGTCGAGAACGCGACTTACTTTTACGAGGAGGATAAGCGGAGGGTAAGTGCGCGGAATAATTCTTCGACGTCTCGTATCTCCGCCCTCCCTCCCCCTCTCTCTCTCTCTTTCTCTCACTCTCTCTGTCTGTCTATCTTTCGCTAGTGCTCGTGCGCGCATTGTGTCCGGCGTACTTAACGTAATGAGCATACTGAGCACTTGATTTCGCGTCGAGTGCCTCGCGGAGATTTTCAGGCCGGCTTTGAACGCCGCTATTTATTCCTTCTTTCAGACTTCTGATTACCTTACTCCGTGGATTCTTACGACTTTACTCAATTTTCCTCCTTTTCTCTCTCTTTTCTTTCCGTTTTTTCTTTGTCCTCTCTTTCTCTCTCTCCCTCTCTCTCGTGCGCGCACACGGTTAATTTCAAAAGTGGTCCTCTCTCAGCGGGCCGACGCGTTCTCTCTCTCTCTCTCTCTCTATCTATTTTTCTCTCTCTTTCGAAGGCGAATGTAGCGCAATTAACGTCATCGAAGAGGGTCGCGGGCTCTCGAATAAATGCGCGGCCGCGTGCCAAACACGCAATTGTGAAAGCGCGTGCGCGCGCGAGTGTTTCCATAAAAACGGAAGCGAAGCGCTACTCGCCCGGTAATTCGTGTAACGTAATAAATATCGCGTCTAGCGCGCCCCGTGTCGAGCCAGTCGCGTACGCTTTGCCAGCGTCGACAGTGCTTCAAAATAACACGCGCGCCGCGTAAGAATTGTTATTCCATTATTTTCTGCCCCTTCGCCTCTCTTTTTCCCTGTCGGTTTTGCCGGCCGCAAATATTTGCCATTAATTATGAACATAAAGTGTTCTTTAATCACGCGGCTCGCCTCGTTTATTTTAAAACAGCGTCGCGTTCGATTGCGACGCGAGAGCCGATAATTCGTTTTCTGTTCCAGCGCGTTCGCGAGAAAAAGCACGTGCTCGCCGAGTTATCGCGGCGAACTTATGCCCATATTATCCGCGCGTATTAAGTATAATTGAACGAGTTTATGCATCACATGGCCAAGCGTCGTAATTAACAGAGCAGCATTTCTAGCGGAGGTCAAATTCAATTCCTTTTGTCGCCATTAATTTTCCTTTCAAACAAATGATATCAAATTTGGCCAGAAGGGTTGAAATATTTAATATCTAAGTCTCTCGTAAAAATCGAACCGATAAACTCCACTTTTTTTTTCTATTCTTAAAGTTTGAAAGGTAATCCATGTAAAAACTCAGAAAAGAACGACTGAAAGGGCAATTTAAATTTACTAAAATTAAGGAATTTATTTTTCAGAAAAATATAAGTTTACAAAAATTAAGAAGCTTATACAGAAAAATGATCAATTCTAACTCATTTAAAAAGAACAGTGGCGATAAAAATAAAAGAATTTAAGAAATTGTTTAGTAAGTCGATTTTATTGATATTCAATAAAAAATCTCCAAAAAATGCTTTAGATGTCTCTAAGAACCTATGGAGAACGGATATTGTAGTTCAATAAAAAACAAATCACAATTCTAATTACATAAAATATGTAATTTAACATATTAATAAGTTAATTTATTTCTTAATTACACTACAATATCCGTGCGTGGGTTGCAAGCCGTTAAAATACAGATTTTTTAAACGAATTAATTATACTTAATTCATCCGATAAATTGATCACAACGCTGGTCAAACATCAACGCGGTCCGAATCACATCGAGTGGTCCCCGCACGAATCAGAACGGAGTTCTCTCTTTTGTTTCGCTCAGATGATACTGCCGCTGCCAAAGAACTGTCCGAAGGAGATCTACGACCTGATGCACGAGTGCTGGCAGAGGAACGACGTCGACCGGCCGACATTCCGCGAGATCCACATGTTCCTGCAGCGTAAGAACCTCGGCTACAAGCCCGGTGAGTCGAACGATACCTGATACAGAGAACTGGAAGGCTGGAACCTGATCCGGCTTTCTATGATCGGCGAGCTCAACGGCAATTGGTGGAACTGCCCCTCATCGACCAAGCTAGATCAAGTCAGACCAAGTTAGTATCTAGGTGACGATCCGTAAATCGGCACGATCGAGCGAACCAACCGAAATCATCGCCGTCGTCGTCGCCCTCGTTCGTCGATGGTTCGCGCGCCCTCGCGTTACACGCGCTACGTGTCGATGACGACCTACGTATCACGCTAACGTTGCGGGGAGAGTACGTCGTCGTCGGGACCGACGGGTCACAGAAATGTCGAGCCCGATTTCGCGCGGTGACGACGTTCTCCTCACGGTTTTTTCATATGACACGTCGACCGTGGAGTCTCCTCCGCGAGCCGCGCGTACATCGTCTACGCTGTTGTGAATAGCGTTAGCTAACCGATAACCGGTACGAATCGCACAAATCACTGTCGCCGTAGTAGCAGCAGCAGCTACAACCGCCGCCGCCGTGCGCGCTTCGCGAGAGAACCTTGTCCGGTGGGCACGTATTGTCCCCGGAAAATCGAAATCTCGAAATTCGGAAACGGACCGATTTCCCGGAAAGTCGGGATACCGGAATCCGAATACCGAGACTATCTTCCGAAATACAGTATTTCCGAAGTATCGGAAGCATACCCATTTTTTCGAAAGGGTATAATACCGAAATGTGAATACCGATCGCGAGACAATTTTATTATTATTTTTTTCTCCCCGTTCTTTTTGTAGTTGTCCTCCTTTTTCTTCTTACCTTAACGTAGTGTCTTTGAAGAATCGTATAATTAATTACTTGATTATGTTTGATATGCAAAAGGAATAATTTCTCTTAATAAATATATAAAGAATTAAAGATATCCTGAAATATTCGAAATACACATTTTTCCCGAAAAATCATAATACCGAAATATGAATATAGAGAGAAAATATTATTATTATTTTACACAATAAAAAATTTGATTTTTCATTCATTTGACATGGGTAATGTGTTAAAAAGATGTGTCTCAACGGATGTTAATAAGATAAATATGTTAATTTAACATTAGAAGTAGACATTTGTCTACTTCTTAACGCATTCCGCACGTTAAACTAACAAAATTTTACTGGACCGTTTTCAACACTAGACCCTTTATCGTGAACTTTCTTTTCGAATATAACTCGTTCGAAATATTCGTTATTGACATTTCGATAACATTGTACGGCCCCAATGTTTCGATAAAATTGTATCTCGGATTATCCTGATATATTCGGACTCCGGTATTATACATAGCTTTCCAGAAAATTGTCCCACTTTTTAAAATTCGGTACATTCTTTTTCAGGACGATGCATGCCCACCCGTAGCTCGCGACTCGTGGTTTCTCGCGCGAGCGAATAGCCGAAGCCGAAGCGCGCGGATCGTTACCGTCGAGGACGGACGGACGGATGTCGATCCGTCCGTCCCGCCGGTCGTGCGCGCGTCGGCCGTCGCTTGCGCAACGTTTGACAATTGACAATAGCCGTAACAATGTTCGTTTCTTAGTCTACGACTCGCGACGGAATTCCAGCCGGGATTCTATTTGTAATTTCGCGCGCCACGTTACGCTGTACGTATTCGAGGATTTATTATTCGCGTATGTGTGGAGGTGCGTTGTTAGGTATATGTATGTACGTGTACGTGTGTATGATGTGTGTGCGTGTGTGTGTGTGTGTGTGTGTGCGCACTCGTCTCTATTTAAGTGTTATTGCGATTTTTCTCGCGAACAGAACTCCCCGTCCCGGCGATTCCGTCGCGAATCACACCGATCGTCCACGCAGCGGGCGTTATACGACTAGCCGCGCTGTGCCCTTTGACCCCGCATCGTGCATCGTCGCCCCCGCCAATCCCGAGAATACGAACAGTCAGCGGAGGGAAGCTTGCGATACTTCCTCTTCCCTCGATGAATTTCGCAACGGATATGTATCCAACAGTGCGATTCGTTTTCTGGCAATTCGCGAAACGGAAATTTTCCTATCGGGTCCCGAATGCGTTTCGAAGTTCATCATAGTGAGAATGCCGCCGCTACCTTTCTTCCATTGACTGTGTATGTGTATCTGTGTGTGTGTGTGTGTGTGTGTGTGTGTGCACAGTCGGGACCATAAAAGTGGACACATTTGTTTTATTTTCGCGATATTTTTCGGAAAGCAAAATTTAACTACAATGGGAACAAATATAAAAAGGCTCTTGCTTATAACCGAAAATAGAAAGAGATTCTATATATAGAGATAAATTAAATTTTTGTGAGAGGATAACAATGTTTCAACTATAACGAGAGCATATTGGAACGATATTAATCTTTTGCACAACTTTGTATCGGCCAGCAGAAATAATAAAGAGAACGGCCGAGCGCTCATAGGCATCCTGCCCAAATTTTTCGGAGAAATCTTGAATCCAACTATGACTTAAAATAAAATTTATGACGCGTGGATTACAAATATGGAGAGTCCTAAGGTAGACAGAGTTATCGTTACAGAAGAAATAGCCAATTTAAAATTCCACTTTCACTAGATGGCGCCTAGTGGATCTATGAGTTGTGCAACAACCGATCGATGATTGGATTCCGCGCCACACACCTTTATATTACTCAGATCTCTTTGATAATTTGTGCATTTGTTTTACTTTTCTTTACTAGTCAAAATACGTGACGTCATTTAGGGAAAACGGAATTTTAAATGGACTATTTTTTTCCGAAACGGTCCGTCCACTTCGAGACTTTCATATTCGTAATACGTCATAAGTTTTATTTTAAGTCAAAGTTGGATTCCAAACTTTTTGTCTGGGAAAATTCGAATTTGTTCGGACTTTTTGTAACTTGTTCTTTATACAGAAAATAAGAAATAAATACACGTAAATTCTACGTTCCGCAAGATTTTGTCCCCTTAATTATATTTTTTCCCCTAATTATGTTTATTTAATTACATTTATTCTCGTAAATTTTGTCTCCTAATTATATGATCTTTTGAAAGTAAATTATTAAAACGCTTACTCCACGTTCTTTTAGTCGCGGTAACTGAAAACGGATATACGAGTGCAATGGATTAATACTTTTAATAAAAAACAATCAATAATTTACATTTTCCCTTCATCCATAAAAAAAATGTGCAGTATTCCGATTTTTAATGCAATATTAAAAATTTTTCTTTTAGTGCGTTACATGCAACTGTAATACTTTTGCATTACTTTTTCAAAGAGAATATTTCATTTTCCGATTTAAATAATAATAATAATAATAATCAATAAAATAATCAATATTTTCCCCAAGTTATTAACGATTCTGTACTACCGATCGACATCGAAGAAAAAGAAATGTGTCCACCATTACGGTCTCAATTGATGCTCGGGTGATTAACATGCGCTCATTCGATGTGCGAAACCTTCGTCGCTCGACCTTCCGGCTTGTCTTCGCGCCACCTGTTCCACCTTCGTCTCCTCGCGCTCTCATTACATGTATTTCGCCCTGCCTCCCGCTCACCCTCGGAGGTGCACGACCGAAAGGACAACTACGCGATACGATGCTGATGACAATGATCGCGGAGTGTGCCCCGACGACGGCGTCGTCCGCGTGATCCGAATGGGATAGATTACGCTTTTGATCCGCGGCATTCGATACGAAACGGAAGCGTTTCGAAGCGCCGGCAATACGCGGGGAGCACGTTCGATAAATCGCGCGCACGCTGTTCCCCTCCCCGAAATTGATACTGTCAGCAAACAAGCTTATGATATTCCCCGCCGTAACGGCACTCGTGTCACGTTCGGGATATACGCCGTAGGATCGGACTCGAAAATCGGCGACGGTTGCCGCCGACGCGAGCACAGCGTGGCCGGCTCGCTCCGCGACTCTCGGGAGGGAAGGAGGAGAAAGGGAAGGAAGATGGGAAAGAAAAATGGGGAAAAAACGCGAACCCCGCGCGCACATTCGGGAGAGAGAGCGCGTCGACTTTCACTTTCGGCCGGATCACGGTGTGTATCCCGTTCCCACGCGGGCCTTTTGTACGCCACTTTCGTACGGACGTGATGAGAGATTTGTTTCTCCGGAGAGGATATAGATCTACACGTATATGTACACACACACACACATACATATGAATATATATACATATATATAAAGTTTTTAAGAGCGATTAAGCGAATTGTGTTGTTTTTAACGGAGCGGAGTGTATACGAGGGGTAGCTCGGGGTCGCGGGTGAAGACTTAAATCTGGCTAGTGGAACTCGCAGAGGAAGAGGGAAGTTTTTCTTACACGGAAAAAAATGCATCTCAAGTCAATGATAAGTATTCTCATACGTAAGCAAGAATATTACAATCTTCTTAGAAGGTTTTTAGCCTTGATTTGATTGAACTTATATCGACGTAGGTATTACTTGTACCCAATTCCAGACTAAAAGTCTTCTAAAGATATTGTTATATTCTTGTTTAAATCTGAGAATACCTATCGTTGATTCGAGACTATTTCTTTTCCGTGCAGATTATGTGGATCCGAGAGCTAATTGTTTTTGGTATATTTAGTTCTTTTATTTTGTAAGTTATCTGTTCGAATAGACGTAGTGCAGAATGACCGATGTATTTGGCGAAGTTTCGGAGTACCGACATTTAAGCGGGGTTTCGTCTACACGTATTTGCAATTTTCGAGCGTCTCGCCCATGCAATTTCGCGAAACAAATTAAATTAATTTTCGGGGATATCAAAACTAGAAAATGAAAATTTTTGGACTGCATCACGTAAACACATTAGAAACAGAAAAGTATCATCACAATATTAAATTGAAGTTTTACAATATCATAAACCATAAATTGTAAATTAATATTGTAAATTCAGTTTCGTCCTAACCTCAAAGTGGTCGAATTAATTTAGCGAGAAAGATCGGATTGATTTTTGAAAACCTCAGAACTAGAAAATCAAATTTTTCATCGTACTATGTAACCGTTAGAAACAGAACTAATTATCATCATAAGTTAATTTTTGTCTCAGTTTCAGAATAATCAATCAATATTTCACGGAATTCAATGAATTTTTAGAGATATCAAAAGCAAAATTAAAATCTCATTCGTTCGCGTGTTTTAACCACTACACAAACAGAAAACTATCTTTATAATATTAAATCAAGGTCTCACAATTCCTACTGTAAATTAATCTCTGCCTCAATCTAAAAACGGACCCTGTCACTTGCAACAATCCGACTTTATTAATATTTACCTCAAAGAACAACGACTGCACGTCCATCATTGCGGTGATCTCAACTTTCCGACACGCTTTATTTGGCATCATTGCGACGCCCAGAAGTGAAGATATTAACGATCATATCGAACCGCGCAATCGATTGGCTCGACGCGGCTACAATGTACTCCGACGACATTCCATCACGTACGTCCTTACGCGAGACGTAAACACTGCGACGCGGCCTTGCCCCTTCTCTCGCGCCACGCCGCCGGCCGCTTAACTGCGCGGTCACTCACCGCGTGGACGCGCATGCGCACCGCGCGGTAGCGCTTCGATCACTAGAGAACTGGTGCTTTCCATTTGGTGACACAAACCGACGTAAGTCGGCACAAGCATCGTTTTATCTTTGTTATTCATTGAATGCGGAACAAAGACGAAGTGATGTTTGCGTCGACTCGTGTCACCAAATGGAAAACAGCAAGCCTCTAATTGAAGGGACGTTATATCGCTACCATTTCTAATTGGTCCGCCATGTTATAGCCTTTACCGCCACTTTGTCAATCTTATTATTTTCTGTGAAAAAATTTTTTATTTTCGTTAATAAATGCTCGAGTTAAAATAGAAGGAATTGATATT